TGAGTGCTGCAGAGTTAATTACTGTGTGGGTCCCTTTTGCTTTTACTCAGAATCACAGCAGTGAGGAAAGAGAAGGAAATAACAGCATTTCTCATCTTTAGGTTGATCTTTATTTCTATGAACAACCCATCTATTCTCTTTTCTCTATTAGCTAGAAATTAAAGTCCAAGTTCGGTATTTCTCCTTTTCTCTTCTAGATTTATGATCAGTCTGGTGCCCTCAGAAATACAACAGACGGAGAACCTGGGTGGCTCAGTGGGTTAAGCCTCTGCCTTCAGCTCAGGTCATGATCTCAGGGTCCTGGGATCGAGCCCCACATCAGAATCTCTGCTCAGCAGGGAGCCTGCTTCCCCCCCACCCCCGCCACACCGCCCTCTGCCTGCCTCCTAGTGATCTCTCTGTGTCAAATAAATTAAAAAAACTTAAAAAAAAAAAGGGGGGGGGACACAATAGACAAAGGCAAGTAGAATAAAATGATACATGGTGAATGAGGCCAAGAAACAAGATTATTTTTTAAAGAGAACAAGTTTTCTGACCATTACCAAGACCAAAAAAGTTGATCAGTCAGTCAATGGTGGCAACTTTTTCTAACTCAGGAGGACAACAGCTTTTAAGGGAAGACGGTCACTACAGAGACTCCACGGCATCATCTAAGCCAATCCTCACAAACAGGACCCTCCATGCTGGTCATTTTTGTGAAACAAATGTTTACGACACCCATTCCGTCACTCCATTCATTCAAATTCCTTGCCTTGTTTTCACAGATGGCTGTGGGAGCATAAACGCATTTTTAAACTGCTTATTAAATAACGGATTTCACAACTGAAAAAAAAATGGAAAAGATGGTTTTGTCATCACCTATACAACAATGATGGAGAATGTCCCAAAGGAATCCAAATTCATTCTTTCTTATTCAGATGAGGCTGCTACTGGTAATTAAACCCTTTACTCATCGGGGGTAGAAGGATGCTATGCTTTGGCTCAGCTTGATTATTGGGAGACTTCCTAATGGCCAAACAGAACAGTCGATTTATATTCATCTTTAAGAATTTATAGAAATTATCACAACCATTCTCAGTTTATATGGTTTCACAGACTTGTATCTTGCTATGAGTAGAGAGAGATCTCTAGAGCTATTAGCTTTTTATCAACACTCATTATTTAAGGATCAAATAAAGATACACACTATTTCATCATGGTATTTTTATTAGCTTTTAAAATCATGTTTAAATCTACTTAAGTAGATGGAAACATTTTCATATTAGATACTTTTCCCAAAAGAGCTATATGTTTGCTCTGACTGAATATACTTTGTAAATCATTTATTTCAAAACAATCTCAAGTTTTCACTACACTTTCAGATTAGTTCCATCACTGTTTAATACAATCACTTATATTCTACAATAATAGAATAAATCACATGAAATATAAATGGGACAAACCTACATGTAAGCTAATTTATACATCAAATATTTACTGAGAACTTAAGAAGTTCTGGGCCTTATGGGGGAACACAAAGATGAAAACGACATAGACCTCAGGTGGAAAAAGAGAATCTAGTAGGGGAGTTAGGCTAATAAATAAAAAAGTTAATATAAGGTTTAAATAATATTTTAAGATAATAATGAAATATAGTATATGGCTACCAAATTAATCTCGGGAATACTGACTGGCTTAGAAGAGGGGAAAATTGGTCAGGCAAGGGTCAAGGTGCAGGCTGAGGAGGTCTGCATGAGGCCGGTACAGGCAGAGTTCATTGCAGAACTAGGGTCCAAGTTTCAGGACTTGAAGCCTTGGTAAAATGGTCTCCCCAATAATCAGCTGCCCAAGTGACTTAAGAGAACCACTTTCACCTGGTAGAAACAAGTTTGAGGGATGCCTGGGTGGCTCAGTGGTTAAGCATCTCCCTTTGGCTTGGGGCATGATCCCAGGGTCCTGGGATCAAGCCCTGCTTCGGGCTCCTTGCTAAGTGGGGAGCTGCTTCTCCCTCTCCTTCTGCCTGCCACTCTCCCTGCTTGTGCTCTCTCTGTCAAATAAATAAATATATATAATCTTTAAAAAAACAAAACAAAACAAAAAACAAGTTTAATAAGCTAGACCCATCCCCAAACAGGACCTGTTCCATATTAAGGAATTAAGCCCATTCCAGCAGAGCTTCCTTCAGTAACCTTGCATTTCCTTATGTCCCAATAACTAGGTCCTATGGTAGGTGTGGGTCACCACTTGTTGGAGGGAGCCAGCTCATTAAAACACTTCTTCTGGGGCACCTGGGTGGCTCAGTGGGTTAAGCCTCTCTCTGCCTTTGGCTCAGGTCATGCTCCCAGGGTCCTGGGATCGAGCTCCACATCGGGCTCTCTGCTCAGCAGGGAGCTTGCTTCCCCCTCTCTCTCTCTGCCTGCCTCTCTGCCTACTTGTGATCTCTGTCAAATAAATAAATAAATCTTTTTAAAAAATAAAAAAAATAAACACTTCTTCTATCAGTTCCCTGAGGATGTCTTTTTGTTCCCCTTCTCTAAAGCCATTTTTTCCCAGGCAAGGTGGCCCTGAGAATGGAAATGGAATTTGGACCACAATTCTTTACTTCCATATCTAATGGCCATAAAAACCATCTCACATCTGATACTTTCTTCCCAAATAATCTCAGAGTAGGTGACAGCTCTCAACCGATGGAGAAAGCACCTTGAAGAAATCACCGCATCTCTCTGTTATGAGGCTGGCCACCATCTCCAACTGCTGAAAGCAACAGGGGCAGTTGGCAGGGGATGCAGTCTCCAGTTACCCTGTCACTGTCTGTAGCACCTGTGAGAAGCCTGTGGGCTTTTCCAGTTATTTCCTGCCCCCCACAAAGTACTGAAGAAGCCTCCGTCATTATGTCCACGACCCTGAACATCCCGAGCAGCTGGACCTTGACAACAAAACGGGCTGCCAAGAAAGGACAGGGGAGCCTCTCTGGAATTCTCTTCCACTTACTGCTCTGCTGCCTACTCCGAGGAGCAGACTCACTAACCCAGGGAATTTCCAGTTGGTCAGGGGCTTCTGGGTGGCTGGGAGGCTTTCAACCACCCAGAACCCTCACTTAGGTTATCGTAAGAGATCTGGCTGCTCAGAAACTCCCAAATAAGGCGATTCAATTTAGTCCCTGAAGCCACCTCCTAAACTAAAAGATACACAGGATTCTGGGGTGTGGACCAGGATATGGTGCCATCAGTACATTCAGTGTGGTTCTTGGAGCTGCCAGGATGGACTCTCATTCAAACCCAGGCAACCCAGGCAGCACTTCCTGTACAACATGGGAATGTCAGGGTGTTCTGACTCCGTGTGTCACTCCACATGTCAATCCACTGCCGGCCCAATCTAGCCGATCAGACTGAAAGCTTTCTCCTCCTTGTCCAAGGAGTGCTCCTCCCAAACTGACGCAAGGCTGTTAAGAACCTTCCTAGGGAACTAAGGAGCGCTCTTCGTTAAAGCGGGGAAAGAGTATTCAAGGAACTAAACCCCCTGTGCTAGAAACTCAGCAGGAGCTCACTCCTGTGGGAATGTCTGCTCGGCCATGCTATCGAGTCAGAGCCCCACACAGGGAAAGTGTCTCAAACAAGAGGGAGGTGGGACAGTCACTTTGCCGTGAAGCACATCTTGGTGGATTCTCTTTAAGAAAAATCCTGGTCCTATTAATAGCATGCCAAGGTAAAGTCCTCACACTGTGCCTACAAGAAGCACAAAAGGAGTTCTTAAACTCTCCAGATCAGTTTAGTGGAACTCCAGTAAAAGTTGTGTTCACCACAGCACAATCCCAGGAGAAGAGTGCGCCTATCAACAAGAAACCAAGCCTGATACTCTAATTCTCAGTCACAGAACTCCAAAAACTTCTAGGTGTGTTGGCTTTCCCCAGGATGCTAACAGAAAGACCAAGAAGCATCAGAGCTCAAGCAAAAGGTGTGGCAGCAGATGATCAGAAAGAGACAGGAAACCAAGCCTGCTTTCTGAGACCTGAAGCAAAAGCTGACTAGCTAGAACTGGAGACTCAGAAATCTTATCTGAACCTTCACAGAGATGAAGTGTTAACACACCAACACCTGATTAATCCGATTCTCTGAAAACTGAAACGTTTACACTTCTAAAATCAAATGCCAACGACATCAAGTTCACGGTACCCTCCTTGCAACAAAAGACTGAGGTGTGAAAATGATAGTATCGACTATATTTTGTTTTCTTAGATCACATTTTTCAAAGCCCTCTTGCCTTCCATGGTAGCAGAATCTGCAGGACACAGCAGCTTTGTGTTAAAGGTCACTGTGCATTGTCACACTGTAATCCCCACCTGTGAGCAAAGGATGAACACTGCTTTGGAATTCAGTGAAATGGAACTTGCTCTTAAAATAGTTCTTCCCAGGTACTTTATAAAATCATTTGCTTAGTCTTTGCAAACTGAGATCTTTTTCAGTTGTAAAAACAAAATGATAATACACAATTACGTGAGTTTTTAAACTGTCTCCCTAATCACTAGAAGAAATAGTTTATACACATTCTCCCCGTCATTGCTCATAATATGTCTGGTGAGCTGATCTGCTGGAGTCCCCATAACTCTGTTTAATAAGAATTTGACACCATGACACTGGTCTGGTTCTTGCCACAGGGGGTGGGAAACCAAGAGCAGGAGCTGAGAGGTAGAGCGTTTCGTGTCTGTAGATCCCAGATGAATGGAAAAATCCCCGCGAGAAGCAGCACACGGATCTATGTGACATTTCTAGCTAACAAATAAATCCCAAATGAAGAGGCATGTGAGCTAAGTGACAAACACACAGACTACCGTGGAAGAATGGTAGTCCTGAAGTGAAACAGAACAGGTGTGTCCATTAGAACCTGTAAATAAGTCCACTTCCCCAGGATACTGGCAGCTTCGATGACCTACTGTACTGGAGCTCCCTGTGAAACGCTGCTTACCGGGAGCGGGGAGCGCTCTGCAAGACACAAAGTCCGCTCAAGTCTGCCACAAGCCTTACCAGCAAGCAGGTGAACGGAGCTGAAGCTCTTCTCCAGTTTACCCAGAAGTACAGTGAGAAAGCAGTCTGAAGACAGAGAGGCAACATCTTGGGAGCTCTGGTCGTAAACTACAACCCTCTGACCGCAGTCGATATCCACCTGCAGGGCAAATGTGAGGCTGTTAGGAAGGAAGCTGCAAAAGTAATCCTGGAGGCCAGTAGCGGCCCCACCCACCATTTTCAGGTGATAATCTGAATAAAAAGGACACACTGTCAACGGACTGGATAAACTAGCATACAAATGGTTTAAATGCTTGTACAGATCAACTTTCAAGAGCAAAACTGATGCTATTTCTGTGTAGGTGTGCTCGAATCTCCTTGGTTTAAAATCTTTAAATGCTATAAAAGGCTAAAACTCATAAAACAAAATAATATGCAAAATAAACCACCAATCCTTCAATTAAAGAAACATTAAAAGGTTTCTACATAACAAATCAGCTGTTCAGTAAAATTAAAACATGAACTCATTTTTATTTCTGAAGAAAAGAAATAGCTTTACCTATCACAAGGATGATATTTTGGAATTCCAAAAACAACCTTCCTTGAAGATAAATTATATCCCTAAATCCTGAACAATGGTACCTTCCCTCCCCACAAATAAACAGCACTTTTAATATAACTAGTTTCCATTTTCTTCCCAAGGCACTTGAAAAGATTGATTTCCTTTCAGTAAATTTGTAGATAACACAGAATAATATATTTAGTAATTATTGATACATGTACTATAAATCATATATTAAGTTACTAATAATTAATATCACGTTATCAACTATTACTACTTATTAGTGTTTAAAATTTTTTTTAAAGTGTAGCAAACCATTAATAGGAAAACACAGCACTTGACCAAATTAAAACAAATTATCCTTTCTGTATAGTTTAGAAACATTCTTAAATGTGACTGTGTGGTTAGTAAATTACTTTGAGGTATCCCTAAGGTACCAAAGTTTAAAAAGCAATCAAAACTTCCTCAAATTACTTTTCCCCTTAAAAGCGAGATTTTGTTTTAAAATTCTTCCTCATTCAGGGTGTGTTTTAAAAAGAAGAAAGCACTTACCTTCTGTTTTGCTGAATGCTGGATGAGCTCTGTAATTAACACTTTGTCCTGTTGCAACCTTCGCTTCATAAGCTTGGAGCAGTTGATATTAATGGCTTCCAAAATGTGGGATGTATTGTACTCCACAAATGGCCGGCTATCAATTAGCAGCACTTTCTCTGTTCCACTTTCCAGCAGAGCCACCAACCTCTCAGTAACAATTTGAGTTCCAGTCATCTCATGGGCCATGACAACAATAAGTCTTCTTTTCCCACCTCCTTCTTTAATTTGCCACGATGATGTAATGGTGGTGTGCTCAAAGGCTCAGCCACTCCATTGTCCTACAAATGTATGAGGTCAGGCTGGTGGTGACTGGCAAAAGGAGAGTTAAACCCATTTTCAGCAAGAGCCCTCCAAGTGAATGTCCCTTTCTCTTTCCCCGTTGATGTGCTCTTGCAAAGCACTCTCCACAAAGCAGCCCCTCACATTTGATTCATAAAGAGATGACTGGAATAACCATCCACAACAAAAGATGCTCTGGGGCGGCCAGTGCATTACATCATTCTTTACCTTCGCTCCTCGCTCCAACAGCTTTACACTGAGCTGAAAATCCTACATGAAGAGAGAAAGACAGACAGAAAACAAAACACAGGGTCAAAAAAAATAAAGAGCATCAGATTAGCGAGAGCATATGATTCATAATATTTACTCCATTAATCTAATTCCATACTTGATGCACTGTTTCACTTGAACAAACAAAAAGAACAAACGGGCATGGCTTCGGAAAACCTACTGATGATAATTCACTTTTACATCAAAACATAAAAACTCAAAGAAGACAAGAGAAGACATAGTCATGAATTATAGTGACCTGGGGCCCAGAACGACATGCTTGCAGTATGAGACTGACAGAGCTATAAAAAGCTGCTTGCAGTAACATTTTTTTCCAAATGGGGTTCCTCCATTTTATTTGCTTATTTCTTGAAAAGAGCACAGAACAACAGTCTACAATACAACCAGGTAAGCAAGCCCACACTATCAAGACAAAAAAATCTTTTCTGATGGCCTGAGAACAGCATGTGAACACACGTACACTCATACACACATGCACCAAGCACCACAGCAGCCCCTGTAAATGGCCCTTAGGAAAACCTTCCATACATTTCAGCTGCCTTTTAAGGAAGAGAAGGAGCAAAAATGGCCAATATTCCTGTCATACCAACTGCTGAGCTCACTGCTGGGGGCCTGGGATGTACCCAGCTCCAACCAAGGCAGTCTCACAGCTATGGCCCTGGTCAATCCATCGCCCCATTCCTTGACCCTTCACAGGCTTACCCCTCATTTTCTTGCACCTCATTCTTCAGTGAATCACTGACTCTCAGCCTTAGAAACTCTCACATCGTCACCTGGGGCACCAGGTCAACAACCACACAGCAAACATGCAGAACCCTTAGTACCTGACCCAGTGCTTTCCTCTTCTTGCCAAACTCCCACAACTGACCACCTCCTCACGGACACTGGTGGCAGTTTTGTGCCCAGAGCTCGGATCTCACCCTGACCTTCAGCATTGTCAGATTCCTAGCTCTCTGGCCCATCTCCGCTCACAAGCCACCCTCTGCTACATCTCACTAGAAACCCACTGCTGGCATTCACCTTCTACAAGGGAAACTATGCAATGGCAGAGATTTTATCTCCTATCTCCATAGTGCTTTGCAGAGAAGATACTCAATTCACGGTGTTGTAAGGAAAATCCTCCACAAATGATTTAAAATACTGAATAAATATCTAGTTAACGGATTTCCGATCAGGATAGTAAAACCCTCAAACATCACTGGATCCTGTTCCCCTAATGTCAGACTTACAGATGAGGAGCTGAAGCAGGAAGAAGTACAGGGAGGATACCAAGAGGAGTGGCCCTGCCACTTGTTACTTAACTCTGGAAAATCATGTAACATCTCCGGCCCATGTGCTCATCTATAAAATGTGGCTACAATACAGGTCTTGTCTCCTCACAAAGTCTGTTCGGAGGACAAAATTATCAAAGTTATCTAAAGGCAGTAAAAATGCAACTACTTATGTAGAAAAAGGAGGGAAACTGCTCTAAAGATCCCAATGGTGGCCAGAGCTGCCTTACATCCGGAATCTACAAGACCTCATTCAGCAGATAAGCACAGGGGCAATTCCACCCTCCTGTATAATCCAGCTTCACCCAAGCCGTGCCCTCCCTCTCCGTCAGAGCCAGACAAACACGGAGTTAGAAGGCCCCTGAGAAATCCTCTCTCCCACCCCCCCGCACCTGACAAGTCAGCTCCACAGAATACACCGCTTGGCCATTTCTTGTCTTCATTATATTAATGTATTTTTAGTATAGCTGACTGGCAACGAGGTACAAAAATCATCTCTATCTTCAATGAAGAAACTAAAACAAAGAATCTTTACAGTGAACCAACGAAGATACTCTGGCAGAGCGCCTACAAGGATGCAGCTTCAAACCGAGTCCCCACGGCTCAGTGACAGTTCACAGCAGAGTGAGGTCCTGTACTCAGATTGTCTGATCCCCAAACCAGGGCTCCCACTGCTGAGTTACCCTGTTTTCCCTAAGTACCCGTTCCCGTAATGAATCTGGACTGAGAAAGAATGGCTCAACTTGTCCATGAGAGTGCCCTGGTGGCACAGAAAGTGGAAATTTGAGAATAGGAGCAAGTTGATTCCAACAATGGCACTGGGTATCCGAGTCTGATTGGCTCCTCTCGATGATAAAATCCGGACGGGACAAAGCAGTTATCTGGGTTAGCAGATCAAGGGACAAAGGGAGGGAGAAGACAGCAAACATGCAAAGTTGAATTAGAAAGTTCTCATCTTTGCTTCCCTTCAGCCAAATCTCCTAAGCCCAAATCACCGAAACCAAAGATAGGCTATAGCAAAGTTCTACTGGGCAGAAAACGGAATCCTTACTCAGAGAACCAGAGTCAGGACTTCCAGATACAAAAAGACCCTTCCCCTGACCAAGAAAAGGTCTGGGCAAGGTGACCCTAATGCAAGGATGCAACTGAAGCAAAGCACTGGATGTGAAATGAGGATAAAGTTACAGCCCCTCATGTCATACTGAGGCCAGCTGGAGCCCTCCTGTTATAGCTTTATGCCCAAACTCTGATGTTCCGTAGTCCCAAATCAATTATGAGAGAGGCAGAGCCCTGCCAACAGGGTGAGGGGAGTAGGAGAACAATAGCCTTGAACCTTATTTATTTAAAGCTACAGAATTTTGGTTAAGTCCTCATCCTAGGCTACAACTCTAATTTAAAAATTTCTGGGCATTCGCTGTTTATTCTGAAGAATGTCAATACCCTGAGATCGGAAACATGTCTGTGATAGTTTTGTTTTTGAAAACTTTTGCATCGGGTAGGATTTAAAAGATGACAAGAGAACATTTCTATTGTCGGCAAAACCACGAAGCTAATCTTACCCAAAATTTCTACAAGAAGTCAAAAGGAATAAACATTCTTAGATTGAACCGTAAGGGCCCAAAGGCATATTACAAAATCCAGGGCACACCCAGCATTACTATTTATCAATTTGCTTAAACAATTTTTAAAGTTGTAACTGTTTTCTTTACTTAAAAAAAATAAAATCTCAAAAGATAAAAGGAATCTCCAAATCCAACGTGGGGCTCAAGCTCATCACCCCAAAATCAAGAATCACACTCTCCAGAGATGCCTGGGTGACTCAGTCGTTAAACGTCTGCCTACGGCTCAGGTCATGATGCCAGTGTCCTGGGATCGAGCCCCACATCAGGCTCCCTGCTCAAAAGGACGCCCGCTTCTCCCTCTCCCACGCCCCCTGTTTATGTTCCCTCTCTGTGTCTCTGTCAAATAAATAAATAAAAATCTTAAAAAAAAAAAAAAAAAGAATCACACACTCCACTGACTGAGCCAGCCAGGAGTCCCTTTTCTATCCATTTTTAATAGATAACAAATTCACTGGTGCAAAAAATGGTATACATACCATGAATATGTACAGTTTATTGTATGTTTGTTACATCAACAAAGCTATTAAAATTTGCCACGATACTGAAACCCAACAAATACATTAAGTGAAAAACAGGAAAGCACTGAAAATTCTTCTCCTACCCTGGTCCCATCTGCCCAGGTCCTCCCCCTGCCCTGTAGTGGAAACCATGGTGAATAATTTCTTCTGATTTCATCCAAAGATTTTTTTTTTTAATGAATACAGAGTAAGATACAAATATGTAGTCTTTCTCCTCTTCCCCTTTGTTCAACTGGTTACACAGTACATACACTTGTTGTGCATCCTGCTTTCTTCTTTCACTTAAAACACTATAGTGTGATTTTTTCTTATTGCTCTCTTGGCTGCCTGGGGACCACGGTGAGGAGCCCTGCACACCCTGCCCCCCGCCACCAGACACCCAGGAGATGGGACAGGTGGCCAGAGCAGCTGGAAGACTCTTCTGAGGAGATTGACATTGATGGGATCCCCTAATCTATCATCAAGGAAATCTGGGTGGCAGAAGGCCCTTCAGAAGACAACAAAGATAAAGTCGAAATGGATAAAAGACCTCAGTGTGAGGCAGGAATCTATCAAAATCCTAGAGGAGAAATTAAGAAGTAACTTCTTCAACATCGGCCACAGCAACTTCTTTCAAGACATGTCTCCAAAGGCAAAGAAACAAAAGCGAAAATGAACTTTTGGGACTTCATCGAGATCAAAATCTTCTGCACAGCCATCAAAAGAAATGAAATCTTGCCATTTGCGATGATGTGGATGGAACTAGAGGGTATCATGCTTAGCGAAATAAGTCAATCGGAGAAAGACAACTATCATATGATCTCCCTGATATGAGGGAGAGGAGATGCAACATGGGGGGTTAAGAGGGTAGGAGAAGAGTAAATGAAACACGATGGGATTGGGAAGGAGACAAACCATAAGTGACTCTTAATCTCACAAAACAAACTGAGGGTTGATGGGGGGAGGGGGTTTGGGAGAGGAGGGGTGGGATTATGGACATTGGGGAGGGTATGTGCTATGGTGAGTGCTGTGAAGTGTGTAAACCTGGCGATTCACAGACCTGTACCCCCGGGGATAAAAATATATTATATGTTTATAAAAAATAAAATTAAAACAAAAAAAAGTTGCTCTTAATAGTGAAAAAAAAAATCTGCACAGCAAAGGAAACAGTCAACAAAACAAAGAGGCAACCCACGGAATGGAAGAAGATATTCGCAAATCAGGGGCACCTGGGTGGCTCAGTGGGTTAAGCCTCTGCCTTCAGCTCAGGTCATGATCTCAGGGTTCTGGGATCGAGTCCCGCATCGGGCTCTCTGCTCTGCAGGGAGCCTGCTTCCTCTTCTCTCTCTCTCTGCTTGCCTCTCTGCCCACTTGTGATCTCTGTCAAATAAATAAAATCTTTAAAAAAAAAAAAAGATATTTGCAAATCACACTACAAAGGGCTGATATCCAAGATCTATAAAGAACTCCTCAAACTCAACCTACACAAAACAGATAATCACGTCAAAAAATGGGCAGAAGACATAGACACTTCTCCAAAGAAGACATACAAATGGCTAACAGACACATGAAAAAATGTTCATCATCGCTAGCCATCAGGGAGATTCAAATCAAAACCACACTGACACCAGTTAGAGTGGCCAAAATCAATAAGACAGTAAGGAACAAGTGTTGGAGAGGATGTGGAGAAAGGGGAACCCTCTTAACACTGTTGGTGGGAATGCAAGTTGGTGCAGCCACTTTGGAAAATAGTGTGGAGATTCCTCAAGAAATTAAAAATAAGACCGAGTACTGCAATTGCAGTACTGGGTCTTTACCCCAAAGATACAGATGGAGTGAAAAGAAGGGCCACCTGTACCCCAATGTTCATAGCAGCAATGGCCACAGTCATCAAACTGTGGAAAGAACCAAGATGCCCTTCAAAGAACGAATGGATAAAGAAGATGTGGTCCATATCTACAATGGAATATTATGCCACATTTTGAAAGGATGAATACCCAACTTTTGCATCAACATGGACAGGACTGGAAGAGATTATGCTGAGTGAAATAAGTCAAGCAGAGAGAGTCAATTATCATATGGTTTCGCTTATTTGTGCAGTATAAGGAATAACATGGAAGACACTGGGAGATGGAGAGGAGAAGTGAGTTGGGGGAAATTGGAGGGGGAGACAAACCATGAGAGACTGTGAACTCTGAGAAACAAACTGAGGGTTCTGGAGGCGACGGGGGGTGAGCCTGATGGTAGGTATTATGGAGGGCACATATTGCATGGAGCACTGGGTGTGGTGCACAAACAATGAATTTTGGAACACTGAAAATAAAGAAAAGAAAAAAGAAGACAACTAAAGAACCCTTTCTATGCATATAGTGAAGTTTTCTATTTCTCTAAAAAGAAGTCAAGAAATCTGTATTTCTCAGACCAAAGACTAGTAACCTTAACCAGGGCCACTAAACAATATTTGCAAAGTTTCCCACTTTCAGAAATAAACATTTTAAAAAACTAGGGCGCCTAGATAGCTCAGTTGGTTGAGCAACTGCCTTTGGCTCTGGTCATGATCCCAGATTCCCAGGATAGAGTCCTGCATCAGGCTCCCAAGCTCCATGGGGAGTCTGCTTCTCCCTCTGATCTTCTCCCCTCTCATGCTCTGTCTCTCTCTCAAATAAATAAAATCTTTCAAAAATAAATAAATAAATAACTTTATTTATGAAGGGAAAGAGATAAGCTGCGGGAACATTTTAGTATAACAAAATGACTATACAGGTCAGTGAACAAAATGGGCAAATCCCCTTAAGAAATGCTAATTTGGGGATATTTTGTATTTAGCAAACGATTTCTTTTAGATTTTAATATTTAATATTAACATAAATTATATGGGAATCTTTCCCTTTAATATATAATTTTTAAGTTTATGCATAATTTATTTCATGTTTTAGATTTCATTTGGTTACCTATGGAAATTTATCTATGATTTTATCATGGAAATCAGTGGAATTTTATTTACTGAAATTCACTCTACTCTGCAGAGTATCAATGAAATGAAATATACCACTGAATTAGTTATGTCAGAGGACCTTAAGCCGAACACTATTTTAATGATAAGATGAGCAAGTGGAATTTGTTTTCATTAAAAGAACATATGGGGACGCCTGGGTGGCTCAGTCGGTTAAGCCACTGCCTTTGGCTCAGGTCATGATCCCTGGGTCCTGGGATCGACCCCCGCTTTGGGCTCTCTGCTCAGCAGGGAGCCTGCTTCTCCCTCTCCCTCTGCCTGCCTCTCTGCCTATTTGTGCGCTCTCGCTCTCTCTCTGACAAATAAATAAATAAAATCTTTTTTAAAAAATAAAAGAACATACAGTCTGACTATACAAAAACCAGTATTGGCCTCTAAAGCAATTAGCTATAAGGAAAAATTTTTTTCTTTTGATTTTCTTTCCTACTCATAACATAGCCTTAAAGCTAGTGCCCAAATAGAAAATTTCTTAATGGTTGTTTTTAAACAATTCCATTGAGCATCATCTCCCTCCTATTCTCAGAGGAGGTGTTATTTTTTTCAACTGCCCAGGCAAGATCCTGGCTTCCAGGTCAGTCACACTGACACTTCGTATATCCCGCCAGAAAACAAGTGAGAACCTCTCCCACAGAAGTTCCCCCTTCTACCTAACCATGGGTTATTTCCTGCCAACGGCAACAGCTCATCTGTCACCAGGCCCTGCGGCCAGGGCTACAGCGGGTGGGTAAGGGATGCCTGCTGGCCTGATAGGTGGGACCCATGGCGATGCAGGGCTGCCTCTCAGAGAGGCACACTGCCATTTTGAACACTTCTTTCACAAAGAAATTCTCAGAAGGAAAAGGATCCTACGGCTATGGGGTGCTTAAACCGCCGGCTCACCAAGGAGAGTGACTGAGCTTTATTTGGTTGGGCGTGAGCTCAAGTTCAAATTCTCAGAGAATTTATGGATAGGATATAATCGGGTAAGAAGTTCACTTTTATTAAACTACAACCCAGCCTTAAATTTTTTTTTCCTCCAATAAAACTAAAGAACTAGACAACAAGATACACTAAACAGCCTTTCAGCAGAGCCTTAAACATAGATTTTCAATAAGAGAAAACTGACCAAATCAAAAGGGAAAAAAGCAGGCTATCATGTCTGGAGACAAGCAAGAAATCTTTGACTCTGACCGTCTACATTGATTAAAGCCACTTTGCCTCATACGCTGGGGTAAACCCTAACAAAAATTCTGAAGTCTGGTATTTGGTAAAACACATTCAATAAAAAAACCAAACCAAAACAAACAAACAAACAAAAAAACCCAAAAAACAAAAAACAAAACCACCCTCACCAAAGCCAAGAAGACTAAATGAGCTTAATGTATTTTCAGTTGCCTATTAACGTCTTGACCGTATTTTCTTACCCCAACACAGAGGACACATTTTGGCAAGTGGTGGCAATAATGGGATAGATACCTTGACGCACAAGTGTCCCGACAGCACTGGACATGCAGACAGCACTTGTTAGCACCACAGAACCCAGCCCTCTCCCCCAACTGAGAGCACTGCTGAGAGAACCCGGTCCTATCAGAGGCTTCCTCAGGGACCCACGGATGAAAGCTGGAGAAGCAGCAGTGCTTCAGGGACTAAATATACTGTCTTTGCTTCAGACACAGGCTGGCCCAGGTACAGTCCGGGACAGATAGAAGGCCTCACCAACTTTCTGCTCAGGAGGAGCGCTGCACTCTTGGTGCTGGCTCGCCCAGAGCCTTTGCAGCACTGCTTCCTGTTTATGCTGTCTCACTAGCTTGGCCTCCCCTGATCCATCAGAGTTCCCCTCCTCCTCCCCTCCTTCCACCATCCCACGTGCCTATTCCAGACCTACTCCTTGCACCCAGAGCTCCCTGACTTACCCCTCTAACATGCAATGCTTTCTCCAGGCACCTTAGCTCAACTAAGGACTCCACTACCTAGGTGAGAAGCCTGGATAGGAGGTAGTCTTAAGGGAACGGGAATGGAAGGATCCTTGGATGAAGTCTGTGGGTAAGAGAAAAAGTAGCCAGTGGCTGGTGTAAACTGAGAGTCAAGAGACAATGTTCTAGAAAGGTATTTGCAATAAAGGTGGGCTGGAAGCAGGAGAGGAAAGATTCAGACCAAACCAAACAGAGGTCAGATGGGGACTAACATATACATCTTGGTTTCCTTGGGCACCTGTCAGGCCTACTGTAACACATTCACTCAACTAACAAATAGTTGTTGGGCACCTCGTAAGTGCTAGACACTGCCGAAGAAATGCAGCAAAAATGAGCTAGGTGAGGACTCCTGCTCTCCAGGGCTTCTAATTCAGCAACAGGCAACACAACAAACAGCAACAACACAACAGTCTATAGGGACAGATGGTGGCAAGTGCTATGGAGCAAAAGCAAAGCAGGGAAGGAACATGGAGAGCTGCGGTGGGTAGCTGCAATTTTAAACCAAATAGTCAGAGATGACGGTTAAGTACAATTCAAGAGGAGGGGAGAGTGAGCTATGTGGACACCAGCAAGACTGTGGCTCTCTACATCAGAGGACTGAGGCCAGGGAAGACAGTGCTGGCCAAGGTAATGCGGAACCAGGTGAGTGCTAATGGAGGACATGGCAGGTGCTCCACCATTCTTCAGAATGACAGTTCTCTTTCCAAAATGAAGCATTTCCAAACACTCAAACATTTAACTTCAGTGTGAAATGCACACACACACAAATTCAGTATAGTTTGTTCTTAAAACTACAGAGGGAGAAGCTGAGGTTCCTCTATTAGTGCATTCCTTGGCAAATTAATAAAAAGAAGGTTCTGTATGAAAAGACTGTAATAAGAAAGATTACTATTAATATCAATTTAATATAATTCTTCTAACTCTACAAATGTGTTGTACCTAATAATGGAATCTTGGTTTTACAGCATAGAATGCAGAAGGTAGCAAATGTAGCATAGAACATAGTCAAATGTCAAAGACAGGTTAAACAAGATGTGTGCTTGAACACATCTGAACAAGAAGGGAGCAGTTTAAGGGATTTTTAAATTTAAAAATGTTAAATTCGTCCAAGGAGTTCTCCCTGTCAGACGGTGTATCAAATACTTAACCACAAGGACTCTGTAAATTAGATTACTGTATTCCAGGGGCTGGTAACACTAATGTAAGCTTATAACCTTTATCCATGTGCCACTTTTACCCACTCTACCCCCAATACAACAAAATTCCACTACATGAAAGAAAGGTGTACTTTCCTGACAAAGCATGAAATTACTAACGATACTATGACCGGGGAAGACATATGGACAATTTGGAACACAGTCTAGTGGAATAGAGGATATAATTTAATTTTTCCAAAAAAGATCAGAAGGCTGTAGGAACAAGCAACAGAGAACAATCAGAAACCATGCACACACACATGGGTGCCTGGGTGGCTCAGTGGGTTAATGCCTCTGCCTTTGTCTCAGGTCATGATCTCAGGGTCCTGGGATCGAGCCCCGCATCGGGCTCTCTGCTCTGCAGGGAGCCTGCTTCCTCCCCTCTCTCTCTCTGCCTGCCTCTCTGCCTACTTGTGATCTTCTCTCTCTCTGTCAAATAAATAAAATCTTAAAAAAAAAAAAAAAAAAAGAAAGAAAGAAACCATGCACACTAAACCTTCCATCACTCACACTCAAGCCTGTTTGTAAAATATTCTGGAATGTTACCTACTTTAAATCTCTTCATACTAAAATAAGCAAATCCAGAATGCCAAACTATATTCTCCCAAAGATAATTTCAAAATGGCTTAAAAGGATGTTTTCAAAGTGACTTCCGAGAAACTGCTTCACCTTTCAGTTAAAAGACACATGAGAAATACTGGGAAAAGCCTACCTGTGCAACAGAAGGGAAGTAAGTAACTTGCAGATCGTAATAAAGCCTGCAACACAGTACCATGCAGCATTTGTAAATCATGGCATAAAAGCATACCTCTTGATAATGAAAGATGGTCACGATACATGAAGAGAACAAAATCAAGTCACAAAACAGGAGGTAAAGTAGAACCTCCAATAGCTACACACATTCATGCACATAGGATGGGTACATTCAAAATGTCACAATAGTTTCACTGGGTAATTAAAGGTAACACTTATTATATTCTTTTCCACAGTCTTGGGAACTACAAAAAAGTCTCAGAAAAAGGAAAAGACAGACTCAGAGCCACTAATGTAGCCACACAGCAGTCCTGTACGTTACTCCTTATTAAGACTGTTAAGAAAAGCATGGGTTGGAAAAAGGTAAAAAGATGAGCAAACACAATACAGGAAAACTGATGTTTACCCTCAAGGTAAAAGCTGCATCTGCTTCACAAAAGAACTTACAAAAAAATATTTTCAATAACAATAATGTTGGGGTGAGGGAGACAGGAAAAATTAAATTTTAAATCACACACTTAGGACTATACACCTGGACTTTCAGTAGGGCAGTTGGGGTAGGGCTCTTAACACAAGAGGTTTCTTCTGTACACACAGAATTTATAGCTAGTTTTCTTTTTAAAATTAATATATTCCTTGACACTCTTAAAAATGTATTTCAGTTTGGGACGCCTGGGTGGCTCAGTTGGTTAAGCAGCTGCCTTCGGCTCAGGTCATGATCCCAGCGTCCTGGGATCGAGTCCCACATCGGGCTCCTTGCTCATCAGGGAGCCTGCTTCTCCCTCTGCCTCTGCCTGCCATTCTGTCTGCCTGTGCTTGCTCTCTCTCCCTCTCTCTCTCTGACAAATAATTAAATAAAATCTTAAAAAAAAAATGTATTTCAGTTTATAGCTTCCAAGATAAACCCGCTTGATGCATCGCAAATGAAACCCAGGACGGCTCTCATTCCTCTCCCTGGAAAAGCACAGATTCTTTTAACCAAGTATACACGGCAGCCTGGTCACTATTCTGAGCTCCTAATCAGACACGCACAAGACTCTAACGCATTCCAGGCGTGGCCTTCAAGCCTGGACCACACCTGCTTCCAAGGCCCTGAGGCTAAAAATAACTCTGGGGCCTCCCACTCGGGCCAGCAGAGGCCTGGGGGTAGCTGTAGGCCCCTTGCTCAGCTTCACTACCAGCAAAAGCAGGGGATGCATAACTCTACAACCACAAAAACCTCCACGACAGGCTTCTTTCCCTCTGTGCCAATCACCTCCATCCGAGGCCTGCTCGTTTTTTTTGCCCCTTCACACCAAAAACAAGTATGGGAATTCAGAAACAAATAAGGTTTTATGATGTGTTGTTTTTAAAAACAACAACAACCGTGGACCAGAAGACTCAGGAGAGGATTCAGGAGACCTTGTTCCTAATTTCAGCTCCCCTAAAAAGTCACTAACAGGGCACAGCAAGAGTCACGTGACATCCTCACACCTGTGGTTTCCCCACCTGCAAAGGAAGGACTCCTGTCATCTCGTAACACTTAAGGACCACTTCGCTAAGGATGTGATGATACCATGGTCAACGGGCCTCAGTGAGGTGCCCCCACGGGACAGCGCCCCAGGACTGGCTTGATCATTAAGCCATCATGTTAAGGAGTTACAGCTTATGTCCCACAACACAAATCCAAACAGGTACCTCCTGGGCAAGGGGTAGGGCAACTGTTCCAGATCATTTCTTCTGTGGTGAGGGATTTCCAAGGTTTGCTCCAAGACAATGACTTCCACTTCTCAGCCAGCCCCATGGCACGAAGGAGCTCCCTCTGGGGCTTGTGACTCCACAAGGTAAAATAAAAAGGGAGGAAGGCCAGGGGCGGAGGAAGATGGGGCAGCAGCACTGTTCCCTCCGGGCTCCTAAGCTGTGCTCATTTAAGTCACTGCATCTGTCCTCACACTTCCCCTTCGGGGCCCGGGGAGCTAATGATGTCAGGAAGCTGCACCACAGGGCAAAGCAGGTGGCAAGGCCAGGACCTGGGCGAAGAATCGCAGTGCCACAGGACAGCCAGGGGACCGAGCAGCCGCGATAAGAATCACAATCCTCCCTTTCTTCATCCTAGAGTTACTTTTCCCACTCTGCCTTTTTCTCTACCTTCTCCCTGTAATTTGGCTCCATCCCATCCTCTAACTGTAGTCCCCCCCCCCCAACTTGTTCTTAGAGGCCCTATCTCTCCCTCTCCCCTTCATTTCATCTCTCCTTTCATGATGATAACCAAGACTCTTCTCCGGCTAAGCCCTTATCATGAATCCGCTCTCTGTTTTGAGGGGAGAAGTGCCAGGGCCCTCAATAAGGGCTGCTGTTATAAGAGGCATGGCCACTGCTCCTGACCGCTCCACGGACTCAGGTGTGCAATCAACCCTGAATATCTTGTATCTGTCACCGTAAAATAAACAGTTTTATTTCAGAGGTGAGAGAGAGAAGCATTCTCTAGTTGAGTATTTCACACATGCTATACTGAGATGACTGACCTAGGATCCTCCGCTCTCACCAGCTCTCAAGTGCCCACCTGCTGATCTAGACGCTACAGGTAAAACCCTCTCTAAACCTCAGAGGAAGACACAAATTCTCAATTTTTCCACACCAGATTGCTCAGAAAATGAACAAGCTCTGAACTGTCATCTAGTGCTCAGACTTTTACAGGAGAAGGTAAGCTCCGCACACGTGGACAAAAGCGGTCTTCGCCCCGAGTCAGACTGCCACCTGTGCCCGCAGCGTGCCCATGCTGCCATTCTCTCTGTACCACTGGCCTCAGGGGCCACTAGTTCTCTTCTCGGCTGAGCCCAAGCCCATCCCGAGGACCTTCAAAGAGAAGAAAAGGTAGAGTGGAAAACTAAGTATCTACAGGTCCCTATCTCAGCTCCCAGTTCTATTAGCTCATATTTTAAAAAGGATTTCCCAAACAATTTGAATAGCAAAATAAATAGTAACAGATTATAATCCACAGAGTTAAATAAATACCCATGAGTCAAAAAAAAAAAAAAAAAAAAAAAAAAAAGATTTCCTGAAAACAACTGCTCAAGAATGAAAGAGGATGGTGTTCCTAATGGCTCTCTGGGTCTTTTTTTTTTTTCTTAAGGTTTTTCTGTCGCCTTTTGGGTGGTACTACATTCTGGTTTGACGTCAGCCAGGTTCAGGTGTGCCATGAAGCAGGGGACACTTTCCTATTGAAGCCTCAATTTCCCGCTCTGAAAAATACCTGTGTGGTTTAAGTTGAATTAACCTAGGTTTCTAAAACAATATGGAGTACAATGGAGGAAAGAAAACAGAATGGACGGAAAGCCCCTGATAATACTTAGCTGAAAAATGACATCTGCGCAAATATAAAAGGACAACGTGCTAGCAGGTGTACAGCAAGTCAAAGAAGGAGGATTTTGAAGGAAAACAGGAACATGAACTACCAGAAAGAGGGAAGAAAATTCTAAATGAAGAATACACATGAGCAAAAGTAGAGGGACAGGGGTGCCTGGGTGGCTCAGTGGGTTAAGCCTCTGCCTTCAGCTCAGGTCATGATCTCGGGGTCCTGGGATTGAGCCCCACATCGGGCTCTCTGTTCAGTAGGGAGCCTGCTTCCCCCACTCTTTCTCTGCCTGCCTCTCTGCCTACTTGTGGTCTTTCTCTCTCTGTCAAATAAATGAATAAAATCTAAAAAAAAAAAAA